GAGTGTACATAACACTCACATCGTGAGACGGACCAAAATAAAAAAATTAAGTGGACCTCACTTCATGTATACCTCTGTGTGTATTTATTATGTACTTTTAGCATTTTTTTTTATTATGGGTAAAGATATAAAAAAAAAATATGGATCAATAACTCTCGATCAACTAGAATATTTCATATTAGAATATAATAATTGTGTCAAAAATCATGCCAATGACTCTTTTATTATTTATTTATTTTTGGATTTTTTTTATTGAAAAATTTCATAGCACTTTTAAATAATTATTGTAATTGTGTTTTTTTTTTTGTGTGCAAAAAAGGAGGCTACGCTAGCCTAAATAGGAACCGTCCGAGGATACGAAACCCTAATCATATCATGATGCAACCACATGCCTACCCCCGGCGGAGGGCTCGCCAACGTAAAAAATCTACCCGGACCTCTAGCCGCCAACGAAGCCAAATAGTCCGCCACAAAGTTCGACTCACGATAACCGTGGCTAAGCTCCACCTCCCATTGACGACTCATGAGCTCTCTTATGCCATTCAAAAGGCCACTATGAACCCCGGAATGGAGACCTTGCCGGACCATCTCAACTATACTCATGTTGTCCACTTCGACTTGTACCTTGCGCGCTCCTATATCCCAAGCCAACCGGAGCCCTTGAATTGAAACATACCCCAAAGTTCAGCCCCAATAATGGAGCAAAACCCAATATAATGAAACATACCGGCGCTCGCCATTCCCGACGATGAGTTGAAGCTATCATCCATATTAACCTTGAGCACTCCCTCCGGTGGGCACGACCAGGATATCCAACGTATTATTGTAACTGTATTTTGAAACATTGGTGGAGTCATACTAGTAAGTCTTGATTTATTTATTTATTTTTTTATATGAGTGAGTTGCAAAATTAAGAACGATATGGGAGCAATTTTAATAAATGGAAGTTATGGGAAAGAAGGGAGATATGAATTAATTTTATCTTGATTTGATTCTATTGAAAGGGAAGATAAAGGAAAAGATAATAGGCTAAAGTAAAACTAATAATGAATTTAACTATTACAATCCCACATGTAAAAAATTAAAAGATTGTACCATATCATCTCCATTGTCCTTTTCCTTAGAAAAAGGTTTTAAATTTTGGGCTGTAAATATCACAGATAGTGTAGCTTTTCATGCTCAGCGCAATTACCTTCTATTCTTTTTAAATATTTTAAAAAAGTAACTTTTTTGTTCTTTCTTATAATTGGTGATGTTAATATGTTTAAAAAAACACATCACCAATGTGTGCATGCCACATAAAAGATAGACATATTGAAATGTGTCCACCGTGGGTAGGGGATGTCAGAATCCAGCCAAAATCCCTGTGGTGTCCAACCACATAGAAACAAAATAAATAAATAAAAAAAAACTTTCAGCCACATGAAGGAATCTTTAGTTGGCACCGGAAAGAAAAATCATTGCTATGTGGTGCAGGTTTCATGTGAAATCATCAGTATAAATAGGAGCATTCAGCAGAAGAGAAAATGCACCAAGGAAGAAGAAAAAAGAGAGAACAAGAGAGAGAGAGAGCAGAAATAATATTTCTGTGTGTTATTTTTCAGTGAAATAAAAATAGAGTGTTTGAGTAAATCCTGTGAGTGTCGGAAAAATATACCGGGCTGGGTATCAACTCTATTACTCTTTGTTTAAGAGTGGGGTTCTCACTGGGTCACTATATTTTACATTTCTAGTGTAAGGGAGTGTGAAAAGATATTGTAATTATCTTGAAAATATAGTGGAATTGTTCGGAGGTTGTCCCGTGGTTGTTTTCTCTATTTGGAGGTTTTTCACGTTAAATCTTGGTGTCTTATTTCTTGCATATTTTATTTATTTGGGATATTCTTAGTATGCTCTGTGGTCGCAGTTTAATCTGAACTTCCACATCAGAAAAGAATTATTCTGGTTTTATTGCAAGAGATTTTCTTGTCATTCTTGAGTTGCTGGGATTGGGATTATTGTTCACCATTTTACCTTGATATTTTAATTTACATCTTCCGCATTGCGCATCTGAGCCCAACAAGTGGTATCAGAGCTCAACTTGGGCTCTGTATCGACCAGTGTAAATTAAATGGAGGAAAACGTGGGTACCATGGTGAAGCTCACTGCAACAAATTACTCCATTTGGAAGCCAAAAATGGAGGATATACTTTTCTACAAAGATCTATACGATCCTGTAGAAAAAAGGAGACAACAAGCCAGATGACATGAAGGATGACAATTGGAAGAAATTACACAGGAAGGCTGTCAGTTTAATCCGACAATGGGTGGATATCAGCATATTCCACCATGTTGCCACAGAGTCGAAAGCCCATACGCTGTGGAACAAAATTGAACATATGTACCAGAGGAAGACTGCACAAAATAAAGCTTTCGTCATTAGAAAGCTTGTAAATTTAAAATACCGGGATGGAAGATCAGTTGCAGAACACTTGAATGAGTTTCAAGACATGGTGAACCAACTTGTTACCATGGAAATGAAACTTGATGAAGAGTTGCAGGCGCTGTTACTTTTGAGTTCTTTACCGGATAGCTGGGAGACTCTGGTGGTCTCGTTGAGCAACTCTGCTCCTGAGGGAAAACTGACTTTGACTCAAGTCAAAGACAGTATGTTTAATTAAGAAACAAGAAGAAAAGAGGGGCAAGCAGTTCCCAAGCCCTGGTCACAGAAACCAGGGAGAGAAGTAAAAGCAGAGGCCGGAATAGCAAAGCCAGAGATAAATCACAATCTCAACCCAGGAGAAAATTCAAGTGTTATCACTGCGGTGAAGAAGGGCATATCAAAAGAAACTGCAAAGCCTGGAAGAACAGAGGTTGGAGAAACAACAAGGCAGAGAACGATGAAAATACCGCAACCCCTGTGATTAACGGGGAAGTGGTGTTGCTCTTTGTTGAAGAAAAAGAGTGTCATGTTGCTGATTCATGTGTTGAATGGGTCATTGACTCAGCAGCATCATACCATGCAACCTCTCACAAGGAATTCTTTTCTCTATACAAAGAAGGAGACTTTGGTAGAGTAAAGATGGGCAACAACAACATTGCAAATATTGTGGGAGTTGGTGACGTGTGCATTCAAACTGATATTGGGTGCACAATAACACTGAAGGACGTACGACATATACCAGACTTACGTCTGAATCTAATCTCTGTGCATGCATTGGATCTAGCAGGCTATACTAACAATTTTGGTAACGACACGTGGAGGCTTACCAAAGGATCGTTGTTAACTGCTAGAGGTACAGTGAGATCGACACTGTACAGAACTCAAGTGAAGCTGATCAAGGGTGGATTGAATGCAGTCGAAGATGATGCTTCACCAAATTTGTGGCACAAAAGACTAGCTCACATTGGTGAAAAAGGATTACAAATTTTGGCAAGAAAGTCCCTCATCCCATTTGCTAAAGATTCAAAACTGAATCCTTGTGATTATTGTCTCTTTGGGAAGCATCATAGAGTGTCTTTCAGCAAAACCTCGAAGCTGAAAGAGAATGTGTTGGAGATGGTGTATTCTGATGTATGTGGACCCATGGAAGTTGAGAGTCTCGGTGGTAACAGATATTTCGTGAAGTTTATTGATGATGCCTCACGAAAATTGTGGGTGTATTTCTTGAGAACGAAGGGTGAAGTGTTTCAGTATTTCAAAAGGTTTCATGCTATGGTGGAGAGACAGGCTAGTAAACCTTTGAAGTGTCTTCGCTCAGATAATGGGGGGGAGTATACTTCCCATGAATTCAAGAATTATTGTGCCGAGCATGGCATCAGGCATGAGAAGACTGTACCTGGAACCCCACAACATAATGGTGTGGCTGAAAGAATCAACAGAACCATTATGGAGAAAGTGAGGTGTATGTTAAGAATGGCTAAACTACCTAAGCCATTCTGGGGTGAAGCTGTTCTAACGGCGTGCTACCTGATCAACTGATCTCCATTTGTTCCTTTGGGCTTTGATATCCCCGAGAGAGTATGGTCCGGACATGATGTTAAATACTCTCATTTGAAGGTGTTTGGATGCAAAGCTTTTGCTCACGTAAGCAAGGAACAGAGACGAAAACTTGACGATAAAGCCATTCCTTGTATATTTCTGGGCTATGGAGATGAAGAATTTGGCTACAGGTTATGGGATCAAGAAAATCGAAAAATTATCAGAAGCAGAGATGTAGTGTTCCATGAGCAAGAAACTATGTCTGATTCTGCTTCACCAGAAATCAGAGAACCAAGTGGAAAGGTGGATCTTTCACCTGTCAAACCTCCTGGAGATGCCACAGCAGGGGGAGAGTGTGATGGAGAACTCAGGGTTGATGTTGAGCCAACAATAGAAGATGACGGTGGTGAAGGTGTCG